TGCACTATTTTGATGAACATATGTATCAACAAGAGTATAGTGTTTTTGTAAAGTTCCTTTTGTCTTCCAGTTTTTAGCCAAGATATTTTTTGAAATTACAAAGTTCCTTTTTGCTCTTGCCCTTTTAAGGAATTATGCCATACATTTAGAATTTGAGTAGATTATTTGTCATTCTGTATTCCATCCTGACATACTCAGATACCCTGGTTGATTTTTAAATTTTACATATGTTAAACTTCATTCTTCCTGATATACTATGTGGGTGTTATGGGGTTAGAGTCATGTATTCACTACTTCAGTACAATACAAAACAGTTACATCTCCTTAAAAATTTCTCTGTGGAACCAGAGAATATATTGGAAATTCTTTTGTGAAATTTTGGTACAACTGGGAGCAAAGAAAATATATAATTATTAGGAAAGGAAACATGGTCAAGAGGAGTTTGGTTTGAAGATAAGAAAGATGCCACATGGTATACGATGATGGGAATAGTCAAGCAAAAATGGCAAAATTGATAATGTTGGAAAAACTGGCTGGAGGGACACTCTAGAGCATTAAGAGATAATGAGATCCAGCATCTCGTTGCAGGATTTCTTGACAGCAGTAGTTCAACTATAGTGAAGAGGTGGGCAGCAGAGGCAGATGAGTGAAATCTGGAGGAAATCTGGAGGCCTCTTTTGATCACTTCCATTTTCTTATCAAAGCAGGAAGCAAGGAAGGTAGAGATGGAAGAATTGAAGACAAAGAGGAAAAAGGATGGGAGATTGAATAGATCATGTAAACATGATTATTAAAATGAGGATGGCAGGCATGGTTCTGTTTCCCACCACTCATGTTTCATTGCATTGTTATAGCACAGAATAGAATTGGATTTATCCAAAAAATAGGAAAGGAAGAAATTAAATCATCACTGTTTGAAGATGTTATGATTTTGTACCAAGAAGATCCAAAAAACTCCAACAAAAGACTGCTAGAGCTAATAAACAAATTTAGTAAAGCAGCAGGTTACAAAATAAACATATAAAAATCAATATCTCTCTTATATATCAAAAGTCAATCTGTTGAGAAAGAAATCAGAAAAACAATTCCATTCATAATACCCTCAAAACAAAATACCAAGGAATAAATCTAACCAAGGAGGTGAAAGCCCTCTATAGTGAAAACTACAGAATACTGGAAAAAGAAATTGAAGATCTCAGAAGATGGAAAGATTTCCCATGTTCATGGATAATTAGAATTAATATTGTTAAAATGGCCATATTACCAAAAGCAATATACAGATTCAGTGCAATCCCCATCAAAATACCAATGATGTTCCTCATAGAACTAGGGAAAAAACTCTAAAATTCATTTGGAAGAATAGAAAACCCAGAAAAGCCAAAGCAATCCTAAGCCAAAAAAGTCAATGCTGGTGGCATTACAATACCTGACTTCAAATTATATTACAGAGCTATAGTAACAAAAACTGCATGGTATTGGCATAAAAACAGACACAGAAGAGTGTTACAGAACAGAAGACATGGAGATATACCCACACATCTACAGTTATCTGATCCATAACAAAAGTGCTAAAAACATACAATGGAGCAAAGACAACCTTTTTAACAAATGGTGCTGGGATAAATGGTTATCCATATGGAGAAAAATGAAACTAGTGAAAAACCAGCCTCTATCTCAGAGCAAAGCCTCTCCAGGGAAGGGACATGGCCTTTGTCCTTGGGAAAAACCCACAGAGCACTCCTAAGCACATTCCCACCCTTCTAAGTTGTTTGTCTACAAATAACAGGAGAGATCTGCTGCGCCAGGTGTCCCTGACCCAGTCAGTCTAGGTGGAGATCCATAGCAACCCCCTAGCAGCCATCAATCAGCATGAGACAGGGAAATACCTGGGATGCCAGATAACCCTCCCAGTAGTTTATGGTGGTTGATAACATGTTGGGAAACCATGTAGTTCAGTACTGTACATCCCTCTTGGCTTAAACCAATCAGTTCAAATGAATACCCCTTCTGTACTGACCAATCACCCTACCCAACTTGTTCCCACCAGTGAATGTGCTAATCATGTTTTAGAGTTATTTGATTTTCCCGTGGTGTGTGATAATTTGCTAAAAGAGGCTATGATGTATGTGAAGTCCCTGCCTTCTCCAAAGAATGTATAAAAATGCTGCAAACCCAGGGCTCGGGGCCTCTCAGCGTCACCAGTTGCTGTGTGTGTGCACGGAGGACCCGAGCTAGCTCCAAATATGTTTATTTGCTGTTTACATCGATCTTGGGTCTCTGGTGGTCTTTGGGGGTCCCGAATTTGAGCATAACACTAGATCCTTATCTCTCTTGTTGCACAAAAATCAACTCAAAATAGATCAAAGACTGAGGAATGAGAGCAGAAACTTTGCAACTCCTAGAAGCAAACAGTGTCAACACTCCAGGATATAGGCACAGGAAGATTTTCTCAATAGGACCCCTAACATTCAGGAAATAACACCAAGAGTTAATAAATGGGATGACATCAAATTTAAAAGCTTCTGCACAGCAAAGGAAACAATTAGGAATGTGAAGACAGGACCTACAGAATGGAAAAAATTCTTTGCTAGCTACTCTTCTAACAGAGAATTATTATCTAAAATATATAAAGAGTTCAAAAAACTTTACACTAAAAAATTAAATAGCCCAATTAATAAATGGGGAAATGAATTAAACAGACACTTCTCGAAAGAAGAAATACAAATGGCCAAAAAATATATGAAAAAAATGTTCCACATTATTAGCAACTAGGGAAATACAAATAAAAACTACACTGAAATATCATCTCAAACCAGTCAGAATGGTAGTCTTCAAGAGGAGTGATATTGGCCAAATTATATTGATATATTATGCATGGTGTACGTGTACAAATATGTAACAACAAATTCCATCAGTATGTACAACTATGAAGCACCAATAAAATATGAAAAAAGAATTCAAATAATAATAAAAGCTGGAGAGAATGTGGAGGAAAAGGAACATTTTTACACTGTTGGTAAAAGTGTTAATGTAGTACAAGCACTTTGGAAATCAGTATGGAGGTTCTTCAAAAGACTAAGCATGGTACCACCATATGATCCATATAGATTATACCTCAGTATTTATCCTGAAGAATTAAAGTCATCATATGTCAGTGATACATGCATACCAATGTTTATAGCAGCACAATTCACAATAGCCAAACTATGTAACCAGCCTGGGTGTCTATAACAGATTAAGATAAAGAAAGTGTGAGATATAGTCACAATGGAGTTTTATTTAGTCATAAAGAAAAATAAAATTATGTCATTTTCAGGAAAATGAATGGAACTAGAGACCATTATGTTAGGCAAAATAAGTCAGACTCAGAAGGGAGTTCTTTCATTTGGAAGCTAGAGAACAAAAAAGAAAAAGGTGGGAAATCAAAGGGAGATCAATAGAGGAAAAGGATCAAAGGGAAAGAGACAGGGAGGAAGGGGGAATATGCTGGGGAGTGATTTTGGCCTAATTATATTGTTATATTGTGTGCATGTATGAATATGTAACAGAAAATCCCATCATTATGTTCAATTATAATGTACAAATAAAAATGTGAAAAATAAAAATAAATAAAAGAATTTTATTTATCCAGGGCTCCCATCTTACCAAGCAGATGATGAAGTAATGGGGAGGTGGGTGAGTTGAGGAGATATGCAAGAGACCAGTGCCGATAATTGGCCATCAAAAATGATTGGTCATCATCAATCATTCAACTGATGCATCAGCATTGGACTTTAGGCTAGCCTGCTGGAGACAGAGAAGTTATTAAGGCAGGATGAAACAATGAACAGGAAGTAAGATCAGATTGAAGGTGCTGGTAAAGTAATAGAAATTTTGTTTCAGGGCAATAGATGAGGTAGCCTGGAAAGATAGGAAGTAGTGGTGCAGATTAGAATGCCACAGGGCTTGCAGTCCTCATATCTGTCAAGTATGATGGGATGAAGGCGGGGAGTGAGAAGCTAAGGTAAGGCAGAGTACAAGAATATGCTTCCTGGGCCCAAGAAGATGTTAGAAGGATCATCTACCTGTGTACTGAAATCTCCAAGAAGAAAGAGGGAATAATGTTGGAGGAGTTAAACATTCCAAGCTCTTCATATATAAGGGGAGTATGTGTCATATTAGCCTCCCCAGAACAGCACAGAGTGTAAAGTGCAGGGTGAATATATCTGTAAATGCTGAGAGTCTGACAAGCTCACTGAAATGAAATGGAGTATGGGGGTCTCTATTATTAGAGTGAGCCTAGTTATGTGGCACAGAATTGAGTCCCCCAGGTGCACTGGTGCAATCATATTGAAAAGAAACCCTGCAAGACAAGAGGAAGATACATCCTCTGACCTAACTTTCTAAGTTTAGCTGAGACCAGGATTAAAGGGACTCAAAGACATTTCCTCAGTTAGGAATGGGTATGGCAAAGCTGTGCACAAAGACAACTGCAGAATGCTGCATTCCTTCAAGGAAAATCCTTTTTTTCCAAGGAGAAGGGCGAAGCAATTCAGGCCGGGACCGTTTATCCTTGTTCTGAGAGTCTATCGGTCCCGGCAAAAGAGGGCACTAGAGATCCAAAGAACTTGAGGAATCCTTCCCTGGCTCTGCCGTCTCTAAGGACAATGAAGTGGACGCCAATGGAGTGAAAAGTCCATTCAGTGAGTCGGCGGCTGTGGGACTCAAGACTTTCGAAGGGTACTGACACGGTGACTAGGTGGACTAAATGTACCCACTTCCGCCTTTCGTATAGCACTGTAGCCCTGGCCTTGGTCTGGGATTCAAGCACGCGCGACATCCTCCACTCCGCACTGACGCGGCCGGACTTGCGGTTCAGCTGGGTTTCGTCCGGGCGGGGATTCGTTGGGCGGGGCGGAGCGCCGCGGAGCGCTGCGGGGCGGAAAGAAGGGCGCAGACGGCGCTTGCGCTCACACTCAGCCAATCACAAGACTTCCTTCCGGCATTTTCCTCTGAAATTGGTCCCTCTGTAGACATCTTTCTTCTGTTTCTTGTTTTCCACCCGAGAGCCAGCGGGTGGTGCGAATTTCCGCTTCCGGTGGCGTCCATGTGGAGCTGAGGAGTAGCAGTTGTGAACCCGGTAACCGCCGCGGGTTCGGGTCGACGAGTTTGAGGGCTCTGGGTCTCTGGGAGGATACTGAGTCGAGATCGTGGTACGGTTCCCCCGGGCTGTCTTGTGCTCCGAGGTCATTGGGGAATAGCGGAGTGAATTTGGCAAAAATCCCGGACCAGGAGGGAAGGTGGCAGGGAATGGTAGTTTCGTGGCAGGATGGTCCCAGCGGCGACCTAGAGTTTATCCAGCTTTAAAAAAAAAAAAAAGAGGGAGGTAGGAGGGAGCCCGTACAAGTAGGATAAAATTTACTTCTCTGGCAGTTAGAAAATATGCCCGTCCAGCACATGCAATTGGACGGCCAATAAAATATTTTAGACGTTTTAGTTTAAGTTAGAAATTAAAATTTTAGTTTAAGTTAGAAGACCATAAAATCAGTTGATGTCTAGGCTTGAGCTGTCCAGTATGTTAGCCACTAGCCGCATATACCTATTTAAATTTGGAATTAAATTTATTAAAATTTAGATTTCTTTTTTTTTTCCAGTTTCCCTAAGTATATTTTCCCATATAGTGACCTTGTGGCTTACTGTATGGGAAAATACAGATAGAGAATCTTTTTTTTTTTTTTTTTTTTTTTTTTTTTTGTGGTGCTGGGGATTGAACCCAGGCACTCTACCAACTGAGCTATATTCCCAGCCCATCTTTATACAGGAGTGGACACCTCTAATATTGACAGGACACTTAAGATGAATAAAATTTAACAAACATAAAAGGTATCTTTAGCAGAGATAACTCTTGTAATTTATGGCATAACGGAGAGAAGTGAAATGGAGGGTCGTATTAAGTAGTTTCTGCACCTGTTGATTGAATAAATGCATCATCTTTTCATAAAGAAATATGTGGAATTAACTGCACAGGCACACCCCTGCCCACCTCCTTGCCTTCATTGTAAAATACTTTCCCCACCTTTCCATCCCATTCTGTATAGTTATTTGTGAGTTGATAAATAGCCACTATGGAGTCCAAGGATCAGAAGAAACACAGAAAGAAACACAGTGGGCCCAAAGCTGAGAAGAAAAAGAAACGACATCTGCAGGATCTTCAACTTGGAGATGAAGATGATGCCCGGAAGAGAAACCCCAAAGCTTTTGCAGTTCAGTCTGCTGTGCGGATGGCTAGATCCTTTCACAGGTATGTTTCTCTGAATTCTGGTGGTGGTTCTATTTATTCTTTCTTAGGTGGTGGGAGACAGTATTTGGCTTTCTGAGCTTTGAAAGACACCTGCATGCCGTGTGTCTTACTAAAACATGAGAAGCCTTTCCCATAGAAGCAGCCTTGCCTCCAGCCTTGCCCACTGTGGTTATTTTTGCCCAAGAAAAAAGAATTTACAGAATTTAATTTATAGTTTTTTTCCCTAAGTTTTAACAATCTGTGATATTATGTGCATTTCCCCCTAAAAATTTTTACATAATTCTAAAATTGTAACATATAATACTAAAGTAGCTTTATTTAGGGAATCCTTATTGAATGCCCAGCGGTGTTTTTAAAACATTATTTAATCAAATATATCAACAGCCTTAACAGATTAAGAATTATTTTTGTCCTTAATGAATAAGAAAACAAGTTTTACCTCCTCCATCACATAACCAGTAAATACAACAGTCAAATTGATCTCCAAAACCTCTGCTTTTATTTGTTATGACACACTGCCTCAGTGTTTATCTTTTGTTTCCTTTTAAACTATTAAATTTAACTCTTAAAACAATCAGATTTAAGATGTATTTAGTTTTCAACTCACTTTTTAAAAAATTTTTTAGATGTCTGTCGATGGATCTTTATGTGGTACTGAGAATTGAACCTAGTGCCTCACACACTTTATCACTGAGTTACAATCTCAGCTCCTCAACTCACTTTACTTTTGAAGTCATCTTGTTACATCTTTACTGAAAGCAGTTACTTTTCTTGGGGTGAGAAGTTAATAAGTTAACAACAAGTTAATTGTATCCATGTATTTTCTGTTCTCTCTATAAAATCTGTACTTAACAAAGTTCTAACCTTTATTATTTTGAAAGTGAATTAATTTATTTTTACAAATAGGACTCAGGATTTAAAGACCAAAAAGCATCACATTCCAGTGGTTGATCGAACTCCACTAGAGCCCCCACCAATAGTGGTAGTGGTGATGGGACCTCCAAAAGTTGGAAAGAGCACTTTGATTCAGTGCCTCATTCGGAATTTTACCAGGCAAAAGTTGACTGAAATCAGAGGCCCTGTAACGATTGTGTCAGGTAGGTTTTGCTGCCACATAGCAGGGTTGTCACCTGAGTGACATACATATCTTTTTGTTTTCTTGAGTAGAAATTGTTATAGTAATATTGTCACATTGTATTCTTTTGTGCTGAATGATTGTAGCTTCAGAAAAGGATAGGTTCCTAGAGATAATGATATATGTGTATACCTTACCTGATTGCTCTGTTAGGTTTGCCAAGTGTTCCTTGGAAAGGCTTAGCAGGCAGAGGCAGGCTGGTCAGGTAACCATGGACATTTTTTTTAACAGGTAGTAAGTACCACTGTGAACATGCACACCCACTTTCCCTCTTAAAACTCATTCTTGTGGAAGTGAAAGACATTTTCTTTTTCCCTTTGATACGTTGGAGTGATAGTGAATTTTCCAAGTGGAAAATAAAATAGCAATGGTAGAATCTGAAGTGTCTTGCAACAGTAATATAGTTAGGCCTTTTTTTAAAAAAAAAATATTTATTTTTTAGTTGTAGTTGGACAAAATACCTTTATTTTATTTATTTATTTTCATGTGGTGCTGAGGATCAAACCCAGGACCTCACATGTGCTAGGCAAGCAGTTCTACTGCTGAGCCACAACAACCCCAGCCCTAGTCAGGCCTTTTAACTGGAAAATAATCATTGTTCCATGGATTTTTTTGTTGCATTAGATTTGAGGATGTTTTAACTATAGTGATCAAGTTAAAGTAATTGGTTAAACAACAGGATCATAGTTATCATGAACTCTGTCCAGTCACAATTTTACCTATTTGAACATTTTCATTTATCTGGGTAAACTTGGTATTGTTTTAAAATTAAAGAGAGAACATGACAAATCAAGGTGGGATGTATTTTATTTTGCCAGTTTTCTCACATAAAAATGAACTTCTAGCATATTCTTATAAATGTACTTGTTATATTAATGGATACAGTTAAAGCATGATAATTAGTTAGTGAACTAGTAAATTACCTTTTCAGGAGTTTTTAAAAGTAATATGTTCATTTTTTTGCTTATAGGTAAAAAACGCAGACTCACCATTATTGAATGTGGGTGTGACATTAACATGATGATTGATCTGGCCAAAGTAGCGGATCTGGTAAGTTAATAGGGGCAGCCTGGGTTTCTGATGAAGACTTACAAAAAATGTCATAAACTATTTATGCCATGTTGAAAGGGAGAATATTTTGTGATTATTAAAAAAGAGTAAATGTGATTGAATTAATAATTGTTATTCTAATTATTACTAATAATTGTAATTATTGCTAATAATTGTTATGGTAAAAATGATATGCACTTGATTAAATGCATTTTAAGATCTAAAAGCAAACCACAGAATGGGGGAAACTTTTAATGAACATAGCCAATAAAAGCTCATTAGTGTAAATATAAGTGTGTATGTGTGTGTACCTTTGTTCTTAGTGTTAGTGTTAGACCTTTGTTCTTAGTGATTATGGTAACGTAAGTACATGGATTGCCCGAATGCAGTGGTCATAGTTTATTAATGGAAAAACTAGACATTAATAAGAATGTGGAAAACCAGCTTCATTTGTATCTGGAAAGTGATAATGTTCACTATTTATGATACTCTGTTGACTGTCTTATAAACTAGCATGATAGGATGACATGACTGTTACTTCCCCCCCCCCCCAATTCAGCTCTTTCTGGAGAATTGTTTATTGACAAAGATACAGATTTTGTCCTTTCCCCTAGGAAGACTCCTAAAATAATATTAAATACGAGTAATACAGATTTTTAAAACCAGGCCATTTTAATTTCAGAAAATTAAATAGCATCCCCATTTTGAACATGTAATGCTACCAGTAGTAAAAATAAATATTTATTATCAACACAAAGTAGTATAAATTTACTAAACCTTGTGTTTTGACATGATTGAATTAGTACTTTCCTAATTAAACATGCCTATTAAAAAAGAAGCCTTTTGTGTAAAACTTGTTAGGATTTTTTAAAAGGATCACACATTTGGTAAAATATTCAAAAGTGTACTATAGGATACAAACATTCATATTTTCTCTTTCTTGGCTCTGTCCCTGGTATCTTAATTTACTTCAGAAGAGTACCTTTCCAGATACATTTAAACACATGTGTAACCTTTTATAAACAAAAATGGTAGTTTATTACATAAATTACCCTGTGCTTTGCTTCTTCATATAATGTATGTGGATGTATATAATCAGTAACTTTTATAGCTCAACCTTATTCTTTTTAATGTAGTATTCCTTCTATGGATGTACCATAATTTAACCTGGGACTTATGTTGATTATTCCACTCTGGGTTGTCAGAAAGCTTCCTAAGTCATGTGGAAAAGGCCTACATAATACATGGATTTGTGTATGAACATGCATATGTGGATATTGGGGGTGTAATATAGACTTAGTTCATGCAGATGGCAGCTGAGCGACTGTTTGCTACCTTGTCTTCCTGATTTTACAACCAACTACTTGTCTTTTGGTACACTGTGGTGTCAAATGAGTGTCAGGATGAATATTTGATAGCCATCCTACCCATCTTTGCCTTGTTCCATTGTCATTGGAGAAGTCTTCTTGCAGACTCTAGTCTGGTGTGTGCAGTGGCTGTGTGCTTGCTCACAACACTTAGTAACCTGCCTTTGTGTGATTTGTGCACACAAAGATAAGCCTTGTGAATGTTAGGCACATCCCATACCACTGAGCTATACCCCCTTACCTGTTTGTGTTTTTTGATATTTTTAGATAGCTACAAAAAGATGAGAATAAAATAGAGTCAATTTATCAATTGAAAAAAAAAATGATTTCTGAGTAATTGAATGATACCAGTTAACATGCAAGATAGAACTTTTCTCTTTCATATTTCCTAGCCAAAAAAAAAAAAAAGGTTGATTTTTTTTTTTTCCCCCTATGAGACAATTGAAGCTGTTATCATTTTGCCCACTCTTTGGATGTTAAAGACAAGTGTTTGGCTTCCTTACAAAAAATTTCATTTCTTGAAGTCAGGATTTTTATAAAAGGGCCAAATTTGGCCCAGCTTTTTCTGAGTTCTTTCTCATAATTTGGATTTTTGAAATGTAAATTTACGTCCTGACAGGTGTATCCAGTCAGAGGGTGCTTTCACTGTCAGAGTGCTTCCTAAGGGCCACTGAGTTGAGTCTAGTGCAGAAATCACATTTTCCTGCAAAGGGCTAAGGACTGTGTATTTCATACAACTGCTATGGCTGCTATTTAACTCTGCAGTTGCAGTGCAAAAGCAACCGTAGATGGTATGTAGATGAATTAACGTGGCTATGTTTCAGTGGCACTTTAGTTACATCAACAGGTGATGGACTGAATTTGGCCTGTGGGCTATGTTTTGCTTACCCCTGCTTTGAGAAATTTTATGTTCTGTTTTTAGGTCCTCATGCTTATAGATGCCAGCTTTGGGTTTGAAATGGAAACATTTGAGTTTCTGAACATCTGTCAAGTACATGGCTTTCCTAAAATTATGGGAGTTCTTACCCACTTAGACTCCTTCAAGCATAATAAGCAACTGAAGAAGACAAAGAAGCGATTAAAACACAGATTCTGGACAGAAGTCTACCCGGTAGGAAGAGAAATTATTTGAATTAATCCTTTTAAAATATAATGAAGGGACATCAGTAAACATCTTTATAGGCTTGGCTTCCTGAGTATCCTTTATGCATCTGTACTCAGTCCCTGGAATATTTCCCTTCAGAGAATCTTTAATCTGGGTCCCTTATCATATTTCATTTGTCTCTATTATCTGCCATAACAAGTAGTGTCTGTCTTATTTATGGGGTCATCATTTAAAGCACAGTAGAAGTTTTCCCTAATGAAGGACTAGGGACTGCAACTTTTGTCTTCCTTCTGTGACTCTTCAGTCATAGAATCCTTTTTCTGCCTGGGAGTCTCATTGTCCTCTTTTTGCCATGCCCAGATAGATGCCACTACTTGACTGGAGAGCAGTCTCTTCCTACGTATCCCTTATACAACAAGTCCTGAAGAAGCCCAGGCAGGCTCGGCAAGCATGAGGATACTGGATTGCCAGTGGTCTGCCTTCTCAGGATTTTGTCTTATTTAGGGCCTTTATTTTGGCACCATATTGACCAGAATTTAACTGAAATTTTATTTTCATATATTTTTTTTAATATTTAGGGTGCGAAACTGTTCTATCTTTCTGGAATGGTACATGGAGAATACCAGAACCAAGAGATTCACAATCTGGGCCGTTTTATTACAGTTATGAAGTTTAGGCCTCTCACATGGCAAACTTCTCATCCTTATATCTTGGCAGACAGGTAAAAATAAATGTAGACTTTTTTCCCCAGTCCGTGTAATTTAAAGCTAAAAAGGTTAGTAAAACAAAACTGTAATAGTGCTTAGTTTTACTTTTCTAGGATGGAAGATTTAACAAACCCTGAAGATATCCGAACAAACATCAAATGTGACCGAAAGGTGTCTCTTTATGGTTATTTACGAGGAGCACACTTGAAAAATAAAAGCCAAGTTCACATGCCAGGTATCCTCTTTCTTGTAAAACACTATATTGTAGAACTCTTGAGATGACTTCATTTCTCATGAAAATTGAAAAATGTCCAAACAATTCTGAGCTACTTTGCCATAACCTGGGTATGCGTCAACTAGCAAATGTGTTAGTGGATGCTGGTGTCATCTAACTAGAAAGGTACATTCTACTATTGAATAATGCCCTTTACAGAATCCTAAGCCTTTAGACTATGGGACTTTTTTTTTTTTTTTTTTAAATGGTTCTAGTGCTCGAATCTAAGGCCAAATGCATGCTGGGGAAGCATTCTACCACTGAGCCATATCCCTAGCCCCAGTCTGTGGGATGTTTTTACTTTAAGTTAATACTGGTTGATTTCTAGTCAGCTGAAGTCACTTCCTGGGTTCTTTCTTCTAGGTGTAGGAGATTTTGCTGTGAGTGATGTCAGTTTCCTCCCAGATCCCTGTGCTCTTCCTGAACAGCAGAAGAAGCGCTGTTTAAATGAAAAGGAGAAGCTGGTTTATGCACCTCTTTCTGGAGTTGGGGGTGTGCTATATGACAAAGATGCTGTCTATGTTGACCTTGGTGGCAGCCATGGTTTTCAAGCATTGGTAAGAGGAGTCTTTACTCTGAACTCTTTCATTCTTTCTGAGCTGCTTTTTTTATGATAGTAATTAATGTATTTTGTTTTTATTTGTTGAAGCTTCTTCTCCTTATCCACACTTGTAATAAAGGTCCAAATGCATATTTTAAATATGTAGAAGAACATCAGGCAGTTTCAGTTTACCAACCAGAAAGGAAGAATCCTGACTTCCTATGGGCCAGCGTGGCACCTCTGTACAAACAAATGTGTTTTTCCTCTCTTTTTGGTGTTTTTCTCTTTCAGAATGATCTGGTTCTGTTTTTTTGAGATTTTATTTTTAGATTCAAAATGGGATTTTTGTTGGGTTAAGATAGTGCTTTCAGCCAGGCATGGTGGCACAAACCTGTAATCCCAGGGAAGGCTAAGACAGGAGGATTGCAAGTTCTAAGCCAGCCTTAGCAAAAAGTAAGGTACTAAACTCAGTGAGACCCTGTCTCTAAATAAAATACAAATAATAGTACTGGGGATGTCGCTCAGAGGTTGAGTGACCCTGAGTTAAACCTCTAGTGTTCCCCCCGTCCTCCCACCCCAAGCAAATAAAGAACAGTGCTTCAGAAGGACCTACGGTAACTATTTAGATGATATACTCTATGAACTTAGAAAATTTTAATGAAGGTGGGAATTAATTTCAAGTGTTATCTTTGACAGGAGGAGGCAGGACCCACCAGTGAATTGGTTCAAAGTCTTATCACCACACATTCCACTATTGATGCCAAGATGGCTTTAAGCAAAGTGACACTTTTTTCTGATTCTAAACCTCTGGGGTCAGAGGAAATAGATAAACAAGGGTAAGCCTGCTTTTTCTCGTTTTAATTATAACAATTATATTACCCATCATTCTGCAGTCATAACAGTTTTTGTTTTGGTGAGATTCAATCCAGGTTATTTTGTTTTGCTTTGTATGTGTGTGGTTTTTCAGGTATAAGACATCACATGGAAGTATTTTCTCAAAATGAAATTCAGGATTTATTTTCAACAGAAAGAATCAGAATACTCATGAAATACCACAAAATCTTTTCTGTAGTTTTCTTTTAGAGACCTGAGTTCACTTAGCTTTCTTTTGGTGACTAAAATTCTAGAGCAGAATCAGGGAGCTTATTCATGTGCTATTCAGAGCCACACAGTTTGTCTCTGAATGTTTTGCTTATGTTGCATTGTATCTTTGTAAATGAGGTCGCCTAATGTTATGGCTCATTTGAATTATTCTTTAGACCCGGTAAGGAATTTATATACCTTCAAATATAGTGGGTATTTGTTAAACATTGGTTTTGTTGTATTGATTTATGCCTTTAATTAATCTGAAAGTGATTGAGATTATCTAGTATATTATTTGTTCTAGTGTATATAACTATTTAGCATCTATTAATACCTGGCAGATTAAAAAGTGTTCACTAAGCCAATTTGGAAAGCAGTATGGAGATTCCTTGGAAAGCTGGAAATGGAACCACCATTTGACCCAGCTATTCCCATTCTCGGACTATACTCAAAAGACCTAAAAAGAGCATACTACAGGGACACAGCCACATCAATGTTTATAGCAGCACAATTCACAATGCTAGAATGTGGAACCAACCTAGATGCCCTTCAATAGATGAATAGATTAAAAAATGTGGCATTTATACACAATGGAATAATACTCGGCACTGAAAAATAACAAGATCATGGCATTTGCAGGCAAATGGATGGCATTAGAGCGGATTATGCTAAGTGAAGTTAGCCAATCCCTAAAAAACAAATGCCGAATGTCTTCTCTGATATTAGGGGGGTGACTCAAAATGGGATAGGGAGGAAGAGCATGAGAAGACTACCACTAAATAGGGAAGAGAGATGGGAGGGAAAAAGAGGGAGAAGGGGAGTTGCAAGGAAGATGGAAGGAGAACCTCATTGTTACACAGAATACATATATGATGTTATGATGAGAAAAAGAAAGAAAAAGTGTGTCACATTAGATTGGATAGAGAGAAAGGATGGGAGAGGAGGGGAGGAGTAGGTGGGATAGTAAGGGCAGCAGAATAGACTATGATTGATGTATGTACATTCCATGTATGTATTATATGTCAAAATACTTTCTGCTGTCATGTATGACTAAAAAAAATAAAAATAAATCGTATGGTTAAAAAAAAAGTTCACTAAAACATCTTTGTTATTATCTGTTGTAATTAGCTGTTTTCATTTTTGTGTATTATTTTTGTCATCCATGTTTGTATGGGTGCTGTTTTTTAGCATATAGTTATAATACATGTAAATTTTTATTTCTATATCCCAAATATTTCCTTGTTTATATAGTCTTGGTATAGTCATCGTTTTGTTACTATTGGTGTATTTTGACTTACTTATGGTGTGATTTAAATTGGTGTTTATTCATAGTTTTATATGTAGTACTACATTAAATAGCTTCATATAGTTTTTATTTTATTCTGTGGTTTTAGCATGTTAATGATTCTGTACCAGTTACAGCATAGGTCACTTGAAAATGGCAATTTTCTTAATCTGTTATTCTTTTACATATATTTGCTGACATTCTTTAACAAAAAGCTTTTACTTCTTACTTTATTTCACTGTCACTGTTGATTAATGAACTCTTGTTTTCATTTCATGTGCTACTGTTTTATTGCTGTCATTATTCTTTCCAGTGACTATGTTATTAATAGATTAGATCACAGGAGCATTCAGTCTGTCTCTGCTGTCCTTTTGGCACATCCCGATTAGTCTTTGAGCATGTCTTGCTTTCTGATACAAAAAGATGAACTAGGCTAATTTTGTTCTCCTTGGACCTGGAGTCAGCTATTTCCTTAAGGAGCATCTGTATCTCACTTAGAAATATATCAGTCTTTCAAAAGATCTACTAAATACTAACTTCTGTTTGAACACATTTTCTAAAAATTTAAATAAATACATATATATATGTGTGTGTTATAACAATTTAATAAAATTTAGTTTGTACGTATAATTACATGTTATATTGTGTGTGTGTGTATGTATATATATGTATGTATGTATATATACACACATACAGGTTTAAAAAGGTTATCTCTTTTTTCCTTCCATAAGTTCTTTATAAGTGTGTTGTTAGAAAACTGTTCATGAGTTTGTTTATTAGCTATTCCAATGTTTATCAAATCATTTTTTCCTATGCTGTCATCTTAAACTTTTCCTTAACATTTTATATTTATTTGTATTTTTATTGGCTTTCTTATCATTTCTAGATTAGTCAATTACTGTACAAATTGTTATTTTGTATTTACTTGGTAATTATAGGCTGTGGATGCCAAAAGAGGAAAAGCAAATGGATTTGAAGACTGGTCGAGTGCGTCGCAAAGCTGTTTTTGGAGATAAAGAAGATGAGTCTGGAGATAGTGATGATGAAGATGATGAAATGTCTGAAAGTGACAGGTCAGAGAATGGCTCTGGTGATAGTGAAACAGAAGAGGAGAAAGATGATACTGAAATGACTAAGTACATGACTATTAAGGGTATCAAAAGGCAGAAACTTGAGCAGGAGGAAGACAGTGAGGTGGATTTGCCAGCATTTGCTGATAGTGATGATGACCTCGAGAGGAGCTCAGGGGAAGAAGGGGAAGCAGAGGAAGCTGATGAAAGCAGTGAAGAAGACTCTTCTGCAGAAGAAGAGAGAGATGTTTTAGAATCGAAGGCTGTTGGAGAAGGTGGTGAAGCAAGACTATTGCCAGATACTCATTGCAATGACCATTTGACTCTAGAGAAGTCTTCACCAATTAAAAAAGCAGCCCTCACCACTTCTGATTCTGGTCATTGCACAGCTGAAGAGGCCTTTCCTTCTGAAGATGTATCTGAAGAAAGCTCCTTACTCAGTTCAGAGGAGGAAAACCCAGAAAATGGAGGGGCTGTTAGGGAAAAGCTTGGAAAACCTTTGCAAGTGGGCAGTGGGCAGAAACTGGAGTCTGAGAACATAATTGATGAGACCAGTGATATTGAAGATTTACTTAAAGAGGATGATGATTACAAGGAAGAAAATAACTATTCCATTGAAACATCAGGTAAATAACTGTTCCATGATAACTTCAAATATGCTTAAATTTAATTGCTTTTTGAGACTTGGCACTTAAAATTGTTGCTGTCAGTAGAATAATAATACTGTTTGGAGATTTTGTTAACTGTTTAGATGTTATGGGTTTTAGAATGAATGAGTTGTGAACTTGAAGCAGCAAGGACGAGTATACAGATGTAACTGGATATTGACATTGACCTTTTAGGTGCCCTAAAGTGGAAGGAAGACCTTTCCAGGAAGGCAGCAGAGGCCTTTCTAAGGCAGCAACAAGCAACACCAAACCTTCGAAAACTTATTTATGGGGCAGGTAAGGAACTGTGATTCAGAGCTACAATGTTTTATTTTCTTAGATTATTTCTGAAGTGAGGATAAGGGAATTGGTCCATAATTCTTGGCTGTCACATTTTATATTTGGCAGATGTTTTTAATAATTACCTCATGAAGACCACAAACTGGTCATACAAAATAGATTGATAGGTTTGCCATAAAAATTATATTGGGGATACAGTCCATTTTATCATTTTATAAAGTGCTTCATGAGAAGTTTTGTGTAGAATATAATGCCAGGTAAATATTTCTGCCAGTAATTTTTTTTTCCTTAGACTGAGAATCTTATGTAATGCATTCTGTTCTTCCTTTTGCCCTTCTTTTCTGATTGTGTTTTGTTAAACTTGTATGTTATTTTTGGAAAAAATAGTGCAGAAACAAATATAAAGTGGTGAGATTTACATTGTGCTTCCCCATTGCTACATGATTGGACATTGGGCTTGGAGTATTGAATTGGAGAGTTGGTGTTTACTGAGTTTGATTAGTGACTAGAAACTCAACATTCCTCCCCAAAACTCTTCCATAATAATTTAAAGCTCGCCTTTAATTTCCTTTCTTTTCTCCAACCCCCCTAGTATTCCCACTCCTCAGTGGTCTGTTTGCTGCTGCCTTGTAGGAGAGAAGAGTTCTCCAAATGTGGAGTGTGGTGGTTTCCTGGACTTTTCTTCATTTGTGACTGTCCTGCTCTTGGTAGCTGATTGACTCAGGGCCACCACCATACCTACCATAAACAGGGATTCCCAGTTCCCTGATTTCTGAGATGTGTGTCCTAACTGGTTGAAGATTCTGAGTCCTCTAGAGGTGAAGTATTTGTTCTTACCTTTTCCTCTTGGTGGTCTCTTTAGTAACACAGGATAATGAAGTTGAAGATACCCGAGAAGAGCTTGGAGGGTTGTTTCGTGTCAGCCAGCCTGACAGAGGGTGTAAACATAAAGCTGATTCTTTGGACTGTTCCAAATTTCTTGTGGAGGCACCCCATGATTGGGATTTAGAGGAGGTAAGGCTGAGTAATTATGTTTAATTTAGGAAAGAATTAGGATTACTTAAGGTATAGCTGGGTGGCAGATCACTTGCCTAGCATCTGTGAGGCCCTGGTTTGATTTCTGACACCACACACACACACACACACACACACACACACACACACACACATACACACACACAACCAGTAAAACAAAACAAATTATAATGAAAGAATAAGGAATTTGTCCTAGAAGAGCATTATCTGATTTTAGTATTGCTTATCTATTGTTGGCATCTTACTTTTATGAGTTAAAACAGGTCATTTTTAAAAATATTATAGTGGATATTTTATACATTCTGAGTGATTACATAAGTACTGAATTTAGTTAATGTTTGTCATAGAGAAAAGGAAAATGTTCGCTTACAGTGTGAATAGTAACATTACTCTTTCTTTGAAGCACTGTATACAAATTTTTATACATTTGAAATATTTTGTGTCTTATGAGGATATACTTAGTGTTCTAAGTTTACATTTATGGTTTTTGCTCTGTGAAACTGATGAATGTTCTTCCCCCAGTTCACCTGTTAGTATTCTTCTGTATCAATTTATAGGAAACCCAGAGAAGAAAGCTTGATTGAGTGCACACAGGAAAGCAGTGCAATCCAGAATCTGTGAAATTCTACATATCAGTTACTTGGTGTCTTCAACAGATAAAATGTAAGGAAAAAGATGGGATGAGGGAGACTTGCAGATTGAGAGATTCAAATGACAGATAAAAACATCACTAAAAACGAAGTAAAGCTATACTGCAGTGTTTACTGATGCAAACTTTGAGGATGAAATTATGAAGAAAAGGAAATAATCACAAGTCTGGATGTGGTTTCTTCCACAAAAGGAAGGAGACTATGTATCACAGGGCTGGAATTATACTGGAATTTATTTGGTTCTCAAACTTACAAAGGCTTAATCTCAGATTCCCCCTGGCCCCCACCTTATTCTCTCTTTTTTGGAATGTTTTTTAGATCTTCCCAAGGCTGGCTTCCTATCATTCAGTTTGATTGTTGTTGTTTTTTATTTTTTTAAATCAGTTTTTAGAATGATTCTCCAAAGGTGATTATTTTAAAAATTTAATGTTAAGAAGTCATGGACTTACAAAGAGTTGGTGTGCTTCCATTCTATTGTACCTGTTATCTTTACTGATGATAATACCTTTAATTAAGTAAAAATTTAAACTTAATTAAGTTTAGTTTAAATAGTCAACATCGTTATAGGCAAAGCATCTAGAAATTTGATAGGATTTAGGTTTGATTTGCTTAAATGTCACCTCTCATATTACTGTATTTATTAAATATCACTGAATGAAATTTTGTTTAACCAATTTTTAATGGTAAAACTTAATAGAGATTGAAAAAAGCATGTAAAAATATTGTTTAACAGTGAATTCTTAGAATGTGAGTACTCCTGTGGCCACCACTTGGGTCAAGAAATCAAGTTTTGCTGCTCTCCAGTATGACTACCCCTGTTGTATTCTCCTTCCTTTTGTGGAGGGAATCACATCCAGACTCACAATTTTTTCTTTTCTTCCAATTTCATCCTCAAAGTTTGCATTACTAAACATAGTTTAGTTTCACTTGGTTTTTAGTGTTGTTTTTATCTGTCATTTAAATCTCAATCTGTGATCCTTCTGCCTTCCATGACTTATTTTCTTTACATTTTATTTGTTGAAGAAGCCATGTGTTGATATTCAAAGAATTTCTCATTCTGGATTTTGTGGATTGTATTTATTGCATCCCTCTGTGCACTTAATCAGGCTCTCCTCCTCTGGGTTTTCAATAAATCATATCATTAAGAACTTTCTGTCATGATTGAAATGCTCTGTGCATGACTGTCCAGTGTGTCTACTTGTGGCTATCCAGCACTTTAAATGTGGCTACTGAGTAGAAGAATGTAGAAGAATTATATTTTTGTGTTCAATCCTCCTCCTTCTTCTTCTTCTTCTTCTTCTTCTTCTTCTTCTTCTTCTTCTTCTTCTTCTTCTTTTGCAGTGCTGGAGATTGAACCCAGAGCCTCATGCATGCTAGACAAGTGTTACACTATTGAGCTACATCCCCAGCCTTTTTAATTAAGTAAAAGATTAATTATTTTTTTAAAGAGAGAGAGAGAATTTTAATATTTATTTTTTTTTTAGTTTTCAGCAGACACAACATCCTTGTTTGTATGTGGTGCTGAGGATGGAACCCGGGCCGCACACATGCCAGGCGAGCGCGCTACCGCTTAAGCCACATCCCCAGCCCCTAAAAGATTAAATTTAATGAAGACTAAACTTAGTTAGATGAGTTTAAATAGCTACATGGTTATAGCTACCTTAAAGACAAAATAGTCTATAAATTTGACAGAATTTAAGTTTTTATTTTTTGGTAGCCCCATTTCCTATCTGGTAACATTTTTTTCATTAGAAAGCAAAGTCTGGCTGGCTTTTTCTCCTTGATGTTAGCAGTGTAGTGCCTAGGACCATTAATTACTTAAGGCTGTGATATGGAGATTCAGTTATTTCTCTTTACTAGCTGGAATACTTATATAAAGAAAGACTGACCCTTACCTACTATTGGGTTACCTGTTTTTAAAATGCTTGCTTTTTTGTTGTTTTGTTTTTGTTGATCAATTTTTAGAGTGATTCTCCAAAGGTAATTTTTTTCTTTTTTTTTTTTGTGTGAGGGAGGGGTTAATGGGAATTGAACTCAGGGGCATTTTACCATAGAGCTCATCTCAACCTTTTTTATTTTTTTATTTTGAGGCTAAAGCTGACCTTGAACTTGTGGTCCTCCTTTGTAAGCCTCCTGAGTCATTGGGATTACAGACATGCACTACTGGGCCTGGCAACTTGTATTTATTTATTTATTTTTTAATATTATTAAGTCATAAATTTAAATATAGTTGATGTGCTTCATTCTTTATTGATGTTCATACTTATACTCTTTGTGACCCATGGAAGACTCTTAATATTGGCTTTATATTTAACATGCTCTTAGTTTTCTTAGTTGGCCTCTTTGCTTTTTGATGGGTCCAGTATTTTGTTCATTTCTGATGCCAGATGTGGAATCAACCATAAGTGATAATTTATTTTAGTAGAAAATAGTATTTTAACATAACAATCTCATCATAAAAAAGCTTATTACTGTGAGTTGGTCATTGTTTCAAGGTCATCCCAGTGGCTAGAGCTAGAATTCATACAAATATTTTCAGTTCGTGTTAGGACTGCATCTTATGTCTGTATCCATTGTCCACTGGAGAATTATCTCCTGGCTGAGTCTGAAGATGATAAAATTTAAAAATCATATCATTATTCATTTGATTTGTCCCTTATTGCACACAAAACAATGTCAGAATAGTATCACATTACTATTAATACGATTATAGAAAAATATTCTTCCTCTCATATATTCACTTCTCTTTCAAAAGTGTATGAGCTATTTACATGCCTACCAGCAGTGTTTGTGAGTTCTGATTTAGTCAAATCATCACCAGTGCTTGTTATTATCTATGTTTTTGAGTATAGCCATCTTCGAAGGTGCAAAGAGGTATCTCACTGTTGTATTGATTTACCAGATAGCTAATTAGGTCAAACATTATTTCAAGTGCATATTGGCCATTTGTGTATATACTTTGAAGAAATAATCTATTGGTGGGTTTTGTTTTGTTTTTGGTACTAGGAATTGAACCCAGAGCACTCAACCACTTCAATCACTGAGCCTCATTCCCAGTCTTGACCCGCAGTGTGCCCTTTTTTTTGAATTTTTTTGAAACAAGATTTCTCTAAATTGCTTAGGGCCTTACTGAGTTGTGGAGGCTGGCACTTGTGATTATCCTGCCTCAGTCTCCCAAGCCACTGCAATTCCAGGTGTACATCAGTATGACTGGCTTGTTCATATTTTGGCCTATTTTTAATATTGGGTTGTTAATTGAAATAATTGTTTATATATTCTGGATACCAGTCATTTATCAGATATATGATCTGCAAATATTTTCTCCCATTCTATAAGAATTATGTTTTTAGACAAAGTAACTTTGTGGTAACAAATAGCAAGACCAACTTTGTAAAATGTTCTCACTGCATTGCCTTAGAAACATTAGTACACTTTGCAAATTAAAACTGTAAATATCAGTTGCTTATGAGGTCAGTAGACTAATAGTACTTACCCTTTCTGCTGTTTACTGTTGTAACCTTTGTGTTTTACCTCTTTGGTTATATTGTCAATGTCAAAAGTAATCTTACAGACCCACTTAGATGAGAATATCCATGAAAGTACTTTTAAGTATTTAAAAGCAAGTTGTTGCCTAGTGTTTCTCAACAGCAGTTGTTTTGTTGAGTGATTGATTAGAACACATCAACTAAGTGCTGTCTTTTTTATATAAGGTAATGAACAGTATTAAAGATTGCTTTGTGACCGGGAAGTGGGAAGAGGATAAAGATGCAGCCAAGATATTAGCAGATGATGGTAAGTAAGGGCTTCATTTTTTTTAATGTCTTAAATTATAGTCAAGTTGAAAATAATAGTTGTGAATGCATTGGGGTACACTCCCAGAAGTTATGGGTGATACACTGGTTTTTCCTTTCATGATGATTTTCTTTTCTCCCCTTGGTTAATCAGTTTGTTAGTTATGGACCCTAAAGAAAAGTGAAGAATTTTCTGTCAATTTTATTAAAAGTAGATTTTTGTGTATGAAATATGTAACATTTATATTTGTCTTTTGATCATTTGGAAAATTTAGAATAAAAAGTACCTGTCAGTACCAAAGGAATACATGCTACTCTAGAATTCCACTAACCTTAAAAAAACTTTTTAACCTTCTGAGATGTTTCCATCTAGTCATTTAAGAATTATAGAATTTTGTGTGTGTGTGTGTATGTGTGTGTGTGTGTGTGTGTGTGTGTGTGTAAACTTTAATTATAAATATACATAATAAGTTTTACCATTAAATGTTTTCAAAGGTTTCATTTTTATGAAATGATACTATTATCCAAGTCAATTTTGTTGACATTCAGCAATTTTGTACATTGTCCATACTGTAAAGAACTCTGCACTGGATATCTTCAAATTAACTCTTGGTTCATGTTTTGTTTTCGTAAGATAGATTCATAAATGTTAGAATTGATTTGTTTTTATGGATCACAGTTACAAATTGATTTTTTAGAAAGTCATTCTTATTTATGTGTCTGAGCAGTACATCTTAGTAGTTATTTTACTGCTTTCATTAAGCGCCAAATAGCATCTATAAAAATTTTTGTTAAATTCGGTTTCTTAAATTTTTAACTAACATTTCTTTGATTACTTATAAGTAAGCATTTTTGTTTAATGAACTCTTTATATTTTTACTGATTTATAATACCCTTCACTTATTTCAAATTATTTTGTTTATTGTCAGTTACTTTTAAAATTTTGTTTAATGTTAAAATAAATTTATTTCAAAATATAATATAGTTAAATCTATTAGTCTTTTGGGAGGGAAATTATTTTCATTAACTCATTAAGTCCCAAGTTTTGAATTCTGTGACTGTTTCAGTAAAATTGATAGGTTCATTAAAATAGGTTGGAAATCATAATCTACAACTTATGTATACTATAAATATAATATTGCTATATTATCAAATTATGTAACTATACCTATAATATTATATGATTGTGTATTATATAAAATAAGGTATATAAGTTTTTATACGTGTTCTACATGGAGACAGTGGGACAAAATGGGTTATTATCAACAGAAAATCTTTTTGTATTACTGCACTAACTGGGACAGTTCAGCAGCTTTCCATTGCTAAAAAAGACTTATGTGACCCAAAATGATAGTGCTTTCAAATTTGCAGTACATTTCAGGAAAAAGATGCAAAATGGCAATATCAATATAGGCTGCCATCCAGCCTGAGGTCTTCAGAGGCCAGATGCAGTATCATTTGTCCCTCCTTTGAAAGTTGTAATTGGACACAATTTCTTTCAACACAAAAAGTCATGGTGGGACTTCTATTTGCACTGATCAGAGGTCCTTGCCTTGAAAAAATTTTAGCAAAATAGCTCAGGCTAATTAATTTCAGATCTTTGGAAAGAGCCCTCACAGCACAATTACTGAAGTACTTAAATCTTGTATGACTGACCCTAGAATTGGATTTATAGTTGCATTTTGTACATTTAACTGGAACTCAGATAAGGATCAACTTAAATTTTATTTGCAGATCATGATTCTCTATTACTGTTGGGAATCACGTGGGTTCATGGTGTGTTCTTAAATTCGGTATGTGTATGTCTAAGGCCAGTTATTTTGGCAGTCTCTTCTCTTTTATTGACCTCTTTATTCTTCTGTTCCTATTTTCTCCATTAAATATCTTTATTATACCTTTGGAAATCTAATAAGGCAATTTGCTTCATTTTATAAATTGCCTTAACATTCACAATCTTTAGTTCAAGTAAATTAATTAATTTTTATTTAATTTTTATGTTTTTGTCAAATAAAAATAGCAACATAGAAAAGTCAAAGTAATGGTATAATAAACACAGGCGCCTACTACCTAGATTCAGCAATCATTAATTTATTTTTGCTATATGTGCTTTTGGTTCTTGTGTACGTGATTTTCTAAAACATTTAAAAACACAGCAAATCAAGAACTCTGAGGCACCCTGGGGTATATTCTATAGCTATAATATCTTATCTATGTAGAAAATTAATTATAATAATGACCTATCATGTAATTTAAGCCATATTCAGGTTTTCCCAGTTAATCCCAAATGTTTTTAAATCTTCTTCTTTCCCTCTTAGTCTCTGATTAGGTTGTGCATAACATTTTGCTATTGTCTCCTTAGTCTTTTAATCTATATCAGGTGCTCACAGAATCTGGCTTACAGGCTAAATCCAGCTACCACCAAATAGATAACCTGCATACTGAGAATGGATTTTATATTTTGGGGGGCTAAAAAAATTCCCAAATAATATTTTATGACAGCCATATTATGAAATTCAATCTTCATGAATAAAGTTGTATTGGAACACAATCACATGTATTTGTTAGTAGCAGTTGAATGGTTACAGTAGGGACTATATAGCCATTAAGCCTAAAATATTTACTCTGATTGTTCATAGAAAAAAAAACTTTGGTAACACCTGAGCTAGAGCAATACCCTAACTGCCCACCTATCCTTTTATAATGACAGTTGACTTGGAAGAGAAGCATTCCATTGTCTTGGGAAGTGGCCCTAATTCTAGATCAGTTTTCTTAATAGTGCCATTCAACTTGTTCTTTCTTTCTTAGAATGCCTGTGAACTACATGTTAGAATTCAAGCCTTGATTAGATTCAGGTTAAGCATTTCTGGCAGATGAGCATATATATGTATCTAGAACGTGTTCTTAGAGGTTAATTTTATATAATTCTGGTTTTTAGTGTCTTCTATGATCGTTAGTTTATTTTATGGTTGTAATTTTTTGTTTATTTTTTAACATTTTCATAAGTTATTTGTGATTTTTTTCAATTCTTTTATTTTCTTCATAATTAGAAAATGAAGTCCAACTTTTAGTTGTATTACTTAGTTTGGGGATTAGAAAATTTTTTTTTGTTTTTGTTAAACAGCACACTTTTAAAAAATTGAAATATAACTTAATGTTCACTTGAGTGAAATTTGACAGTTTTGTATATGCCTATACATACCCCCTGAAGCAAGCTAAGAAAATATCTATTGCCTCAGAAAGTTTGCCTGTATATGTTGATAGTTAACAGTCCAACCCTTGCCCCTGGGAATCTCTTATGGATTTATCCTCACAGATTTGTTTTGCCTGATTTTTTTTTTTTTTTTGCTTCATACAAATACATCAGACAGTATATATTCTACGTAAATCAACTTTATTGAGATATATGTTTCATAAAAGTAGAATATGTTGGTATTAACAATGTAGTTTTGTTAGCTTGAATAAAGATGCCTACATACCATTATTAAAATTAAGAAACATTTTCATCACCACACAAATCACTTTTATGTCTCTTATAGTCAGTCTCTACCATCCATACCGCCCCAAAGCAACCAGTAATCTCTAGATTAAGGTTGTCTTTTTAGAATTACATAACAAAGCATACTATTATCTGTTTGATTCTTGAGCCTTAGCATAATGTTTTTGAGATTTACTCATTGTAATTTGTTTTTCTTATTGCTAAGTAGAATTCTGTTAACATGACTATGCCATAATTGCTTAAGCATTTTCTTTTAATGGTCTTTTAGGTTTGAGGCTGTTATTAAGAACATGATTATAATTATACTAATATATAAGATAAATTATGATTTTAAATCTATTTTAATACACATATGTCAATTTCATTGAAATATTTGCAGAATTGAAAACTTGGTATTCAATAAGTTAAGGCTGCTCTGAACATTTGTATATAGGTCTTTTAGTAAAAGCTAGTTTTATTTCAACTTGATAAATATTTAGGAGTGGAATGCTTGGCCATAAGATAAATGGATGCACAACTTTATAAGAAACTGCATCTGACTCCACTTTTATTGTTTGCTGACAGCTTTTAAGCACCCCTTCCAATTCTGAACCATGCCTGGATAAGCCCATAAAGAAAGCCCAGTGCTTCCTTTTTGGCACCAGCAAGAAATTCAAACCATTTATATCTGCTGCTCCCCTAAAACTCCACTCTAAAATCACCATTAAAACCCTAAGATATTCTGCTTTCCTCCCAGCTCTTCCAAGCCATGTTTGAACTAATTTAGTAAATTTGCCCTGCTTTCCTTAGAAAAATCACATCGTGAGTTGTAAATTTCCCTATACTCCTCCTTGCTACAGGTGTACCGTCATCATTCTCAACATACAAACCAAAATAATGTTATTGAGCATCTTTTGTGTGCTTTTTAGCCATTTGAATATCTTATTTTGTGAGATGTGCTCTCAAGTCTTTTTTCTTTTCATCTCCAAAAAAAGTTTATTAGTATGATTAAAAATATTTTCTCGAATAACAAAGAGTTTCTAAACATGAAAGAATATCAGTGGCTATACCTTACAATCAATATTTTGAATTGAATGAACAGCTTTATTGCCAGTCTTCATTTTATTAAAAACAATCCATTTATTGGCTCCATGAAGTCATGACTATTTCTTTGTTTGGGAGTGAATCCCAACTGCAATTAAGTATAAAACATATCTTCCATCATAACTGGAGTGTGACCTATATTTAGAGTTGGGTTTTTGTTTTTTAGAAACATTCCTTTTACACACTACAAAAAAAATAATTAGTATTTTTACTTTTCAACTTCCTACATGATATTTAGAATGGTAGTCCTCAAAGGTCCTTCCATCACATAATTGTGAACCCTCTTCTGAAGGGTAGATCCTGGGGGTAACTCTGAAGATTTTGGCCTCCAGAAGTCTAAACTGGTTTGAGTACAAAGACAGCATCATTTAAAACATACTAGTCATTATACATGTCACCTTTGCATAGGTATGGAAGTCTGG